GCATTAAGCACAAATCCAATCACAAATACTAGACTGTAGGAGACAGGAAGAAGAATGTATTTGAACTCCTCATCAAAGTGGCAGCTGGAGTTGAAAACATGGCGAGAAGCAGCTGACAGGTTGTGGCCATGACTGCTTAGGATCACCGGTTCCATCCTGACAGTGAGATCTAAAAACGTAAAAGAAAAGGCAAAAACTCAGATACACATTCATACACATTTTATAAACATACCAAGATCTAAAAGGACTGTCATCACTGTTATGTCAGCAGTGTACTGACAGGCATCTCTCTCTGCTGTGTGTAGCCTACTTTACTCTGCAGTTTCTGATAATGCAATAATGAAATCAAACCATGAGACAATGGTGTAGCAAGTACTAACTCTCGTCCACTTGTAGCGGTACACTTTAAACATCTGCTCTTAACACTGATCGTTGCTGGTAAAAAAAAAAAAAAAAAAAAAAAAAAAAAGAAAGAAAAGAAAAGAAAAGAAAAGAAAAAACAGTAGGTTATGCTAAGTTATGAACAATCATGGTTTTTGGCACTTACCACAGTGGTAGCGTAGAGAGAAAAGAAAGAAAAAAAAAAACATTCAGGTCAAAACTAAAGGGGATTTTATCCGTTTCTCCGTGGAATTGCGTCGAGTGCGCTCGTGTAGTTCACGAGACGCAATTAAGACGCAATAGTTTTCACGAACTTTGAATCCATGGCTATGTTAAAGCACCACGACAGACAATGTTCCCCACGCCTATTAAAATATATGATAGTAGCCTGCTGTGTAGTAGGAAGCCACATTGCTGAGTGGACGGGTCTGCGCACTAAAACAGGCATCAGTTGGAGTGAACCACGTGGAAGTCATAGAGCTCGTTTTAGAAACTCACTGGGCAAAGCCCCGGTCGATGTTTCACATCATCAAGTTGGCAGGCTTTATCTATCGATCCTCTAGACACAACATGACTTATCACTGGACAATTTAGCAGTGAAACTTTGGCTTGGGTGTGTTCGGGTGAAGTCTGTTAAACTTGATCATAAAAGTATAACGAGCTATCCAGTGGATATCTGTGAGATATTATGGATACTACCTGGACGACTGGGGGATTTCACTAACAATGAAATAAGATAATTTAATAAGTCACAAAATTCTATGGCCTATCATTGATTTGTTCCGAGTTCAAGAGTGTCCTTGTGTGCACCCCTTCTTCTGGTGTCACTGCAATTATGTTAAAACACGAAGTGCACCATATGAGCAAACTGGATTGGGAGGGGCGTTTGCGATTTGTTAGGAATGTGTGTGGATCACTGCCAGCTTCTGAATTCAAGAGGGCCTCTGACTTTTACACATATGAAATGCATATGTTTGTGGTAAAATAATCTTCTGGTAACTTTTACCTATGTTTGCTTGTTTGATGTGGTAAATATTTGATATAGTTTTACACTAGGTAAGTGGCAGTTTGTGGGGAAACATATAACTTAAAGTTATATATATATATACATATATACAAGAAGTGGAGGTGAGTAAATCGGACTACCTCTTTGAATGTCATCAAGACAAAATTCCTTACAAAATACAGGGAAAATTCAGGCATTTTCTGGTATCAATATTAATTTTAAAAATGTGGTGTTGTAATTTATTAGTTTAATATTGTGCATTTTGGTTGCAGGTGAGTTATGGAATTATTATGTCATATCTGCTGCCCCAGTATACCTGGCCTATAGACCCTATAGACTACAACCAGGAAGAAAATAGTATAAAGTATAACACAAAAATAAAACATTTTGGAAAAACTAGGCAAGTGTTTTAGTAAAATCTTAAATATAATGTTAACTATGTTTTAGTGAAAAGAGTAGTCTAACCTGTCATATGCACTTTAAGTTTATTTACAGATATCTGTAAAATCCCAATAAGTACTGACAGTTGTGACATCGTGGTCAGTGACACAAGAGTTTGGTCAAACAGAGAGAAGTGTTTGAACATTCAAATAAGTGACTAGAACAGAAAATGAAAACTGAAACTGTGTCTAGTTTTATAACTTAACAAATAAGTTGAAATTACCTTAATAAATCAAGCTGAATAGAGTAGTAACATTAAATACAGTTTAATTAACAATTGCCTATCATAGAGATGTGTGCAAAAGAAAACACACTGCAATGTCACAAATGACTACTACAAAATGGTCCTTCTCATTGGTCAAGTAATGTATTCCCATACAAAATGACTTGCATTGCTTAGTGATGGTCAAGAGTTGCTTTATGCACTTAAGGCATAAATGGCATGGTAAACAAAATGAACTAAAGCAGCTCATTACAATAGATTTACAGCTATAGACTTTATGGTCCACAGGAAAAACCAGGGGCTTTTAAAGAATAGAGGCTCAATATAGCACAGTGAAGTGTACACAGTTAAAGCCTGTGTTGAAACATTAAAGCCACGAGTAAAGATGGAAAAGTGTATTTTAAAAATATATACAGACCTTATTAGGGGAAAAAACAACGTTTACATGTTAGATTCACATCAAGTATTAAAGTATACAGTATGTACATGAGTTGTCTAGATGATGGCTGAATTAAGCAGTTTTGAAGTTCTATGGATTTAGTATACACAACATACAGTTAAACTTAAGTATTGGTATTTCAAGTTTAACAAGTCCAAATAGATGTTCCAGTTTCATTTTTACATTTAAGTCCTCATCGTTTGTCAGTTCCAGTTTTTGGGAAGATTTTCAAGGATCATGCGTCGATGAGCAGGGTTTGTTACTCCAGCAGCACGGAGATCTTCCTCTGTGATGCCACTGTGGAAGACATCACTATGTCATTGACTTTCATGTGTACAATACAGCAAGTACAGGCAGAACCACAGAGCTACATCTTAAGTATTAGAGCTGCCAATGTTAAACACCACTCAGGATTCTTAAAGTAATCTAAATCTAATTTTGATTTTTTTTTTTAATCTATGCCTTTCCTTAAACTACTGATGAATTAGTGACTGAGAAAAGTTCATTGTTAAGTGAATGTGGTTTGTTGCATGCACTGACAAGTATTAAGTCACACATGAGCTAATCTCTATACCAGAAGTAATCCAGGTCATCCCAGCCACAAAGACGAAGGCCATGGTGGTATTTCTGAAGACCCATTGTAGAGAGAAGTTCTTGTACAGTTTCAGGCGCACCTTGAAGGTCAGATACCTGTAATATAGTACACCTGTTTTACTATGTGCTTTAATGACAGGGAACTGATATTACTGTTGAGAGTTTCATACCTCTTTAACCCAGCCATATTCTCGGTCTGTTGTCATTTTAGGACCATTTCTATACTTTGGCTTTGGCTGTACTGAAGGAGTTTTCTGTTCTATGGGAAAGAAATCCATCTCACTGAGAGACTTGGCAATCTGTAAAGCAGTCAGAGAATGGTCTCCAGTCGGACCTGGGGCCTGGTGCTCCACCAGCCACGGAACAGACGCTTGAGAACGTAACACTTTAGCTGGAACATGAGGGAAAGCTGCAGGAGGCTTGACTGAAGGGATGGGACTAGTTCTTTCTGGTCGGTTCACAACTTGGTCTTTAATAATCATCAAATGGTTCATATAAAGGTTTTTAAGGTTTTTGTCTGGCAGAATAGAGTCCTGGGCAGCATTCTGAATGCATTTTTCTTTGGACGGTGCATTCTGCTCCTGGTATTTTGAAATACTTGAGGGTGGGGAAATAGAGGGGGATTTTTTGGCTGGGAAAAGCTGATAAGAAGAGATTGTTCGAGGTGTGTGAAGGTCATCTGCCTGCGCATATTGTGGCAACAAGGCTGGAATTTCAATCTCTGTAAAGTCCGCTCTGCGGCTAGGCCTACGGTCAAAGTCTGCACGTCCTGAGACTTTGGGGAGCTGAAGAGCCTCATTTCCAGACCAGATCACAGGAGCCTCTCTGCGCTGAGGTGCAGACTGCTTTTTGGGTACCACTGACACTCCTTCAAAGATGAAGTAGGCGGGATTGGTGTAGCTGCTTGGAGACAACAAATAGGGAGATGCCGAGGACCTGAATTCATCACATGCAGAAAAGTATCATATTAAGTCAAGAAACATTTACTAAGTAAAGGGACTGCTCAGCTGTACCTGTTTATTGGGAATCGGGTTTGTGCAGGTAAAAGGTGTCCCCTAACTGAGGGTTTGTCATCTTTATCAAAACAGAATTCTAAAAAAAAAAAACATTTCAATTTAATTGGAGTTTCCTATGTTGATCAAGTAAAACAAAATAGAGTGAAATTATGCCCTGACCTGCTGACACATTATACATGGGCTTTGTGTCTCAGGATGCATCTGGACAGGGTGAGCCAAACAGGAGCCAAAAGAGGAAGTGGAAATAGAAAGCCGCAAGTGCAAAGCCATTGATTATTGAGAAACCAAACAGAGGAAGATACTGAAGCAGAAGCATGGGTTGCAATATTATTAAAAACTAAAGTTTAGTCAGAAATGCAAGAGTTAGGAGGAAAGAGGAAACAACACCTATGTATCACCCACCATAGATTTTAGTCCTGGTTCCCCTTCTGTCTTTAGGCACATGAACTCTGACCCGTCCTCGTATGGAGCCTATCTCATCCCCACGGTGGCTCAAAAATGTCTCAAACTGCTCTGAGGCTCCTATGACAGAGCGCAGGGCTACACAACATTCACCTGACACAGAGAAACAGAGAGTTAACAAGAGCTGGGCTGAGCAAGGTATCAAATATTATACATGTTTTCATAGTACTGACTGATTTTCTTATTAAAAACAAATAAATATGGCTTGGGGTCCAGACTTTACAGATAGTTCAAATTAATACTATAAATACAATTTACTTCTCCAATTTCTGACATACTTTTGAGCAAAAGCATGAAGCAATAGTTTTCAAGTTAACAGCCACCTTTTACCTTTTGTTCAGCAGAGACCGGCAATTTAAGATCTGAAATTATCCAAATTGTTGTATGGAGTTTAAAAACATCAGGGCACATCCTGTATTACCACATGACATCACAAGGTGGAACAGAGTGTTTCAATTTGAGAGAGGAATGCAGCCTAAATATGTAAGGTTTGAGTGTTAAACGTGTGAATGAAACAAAACTCTAAATATGTTTTTGATGAGGAAAAAACAGTATAACGTAGACGAGAAGACAGCGTAATATGGATCCTTTAACAAACAATACTTTGCACAATCAAAAGCATTGTTTCAGTTCTTACCATATGATTCAAAGCCATCACATGACTTCACAGACAGCAGCAAGTGTTGATCTTGAAGATACTCCAGATCAGAGAAAATGGGAAAGAGCTGCCAGAGAAAAAAAAAATAAAAAAATTAAATGAAATGCATATATTGTTTTCATATATCCTTAAAGGATTTTGTACCTTTGGCAACTGTTTAAAAGACCAGCCAAGCTTCAGAAACCCAGGAACGTCACAGCTCTGAGAATCATTTTCACAAGAGCGGCGTGTTTCTGAACATTCGAGGATATATACTTTTATATGGTTTGCATTACACACATTGTAAATTACACTCTGCAATGATACCATACCTTCAAGACAGGGTGAATAACATTCAATAAAAAATTTGGATTTGCTTGATGTTTTTACAATGACTTCAACAACTTCAAGTTCAATCCATGCTTTCTCCACACTTGTTTTTCTTTCTGTTTAACACCAGTGTAGTTAGTTTTTGTTCTTTTTCTAGACAATTGTATTTTTTGTGTGCGTGTCCAACAAAACCTTCATAGCACCTGTTCTGGAGACAAAATGAGGTGTCACTCCAACTTGGAAAGTGGCAAAAACAGGAGAGTGATCACTTGTAAAGATGTCATCAGTGCAACCTGTCATTAAAAACATTAGTATTATATTTAGGGCACAGACTGATGGGGACGAGTCAGCAACTTGTGTGAGATTCTTTTTGTATTTTTAACATTTTAAGGAAAATCTAAAAAATCTAAAATTAGTAAACAATAAGATATTAGAAGATATAGAAGAAAATTGGAGTTCAATGAGTTCAAATTTTCAGTGAAGTAAGTAGAAGAAAAAGAAGTAAAAAGTATTGAAAGATGGCTCAGCAGCTCCACCTTACAAATGTATATTGCTGTAATGGGAGCTCAGCTTGATAAAAAAAAAAATAAATAAAAAAATCAACAGAGCAAAATAAAAAATTGCATAAAAATGTCAAAACATGTAAAAGAAAAATGCATTATTGACCCGATCTAAACTTTACAGGATATTGTCCATATTTGATCGAACACAGGACTGACAAAATCACTCATCATAATCTTTTGACATCTCCTCCAACAGATTCATCTAACACACTTCAGACTTTGTCAAAAGACACAAAACCCATGTGCTGGAAAATATTATCAATCAATTTCAAATACAAGGTTAGGCATGGTCATGGTGCTTTTTCAATAAAATGGCAATTTTTAGAAATACAATACATTAATATTAATCATATTTATCACTGACTGTAATCTTACCATATGCAGTGCAATTGATGTATGTTTCTGGATAGGATTTCCACAAAATCCTGTCACACCACGAGGGCACATTTACTCGCACCTACAATAAAAATGTTATTCTTATTATTATGGTGTGAAAAACTGTAAGGCATGCCTCTTGTTGCCACGGCTGCACTGAGCTAGAATGAGGATAATGCTGCTATTTTTAGAATCAACAACTGTTCTGGACGACAAGTATGCCGCAACCAGACCTCTCAGGCAGTATTAGGATTACTGACGAAATATAATTAGCCTGTGAACTGCATACTTAAGAAGCTTATAGAGAAGTTAGTCACATATCAGATGTCAACAATTCACATTGACTAATATCCTATTATGCATACTTCATTCATAGATTTATTATCAATACATTTATCATTTCTTAGACATACAAGGTTGATGTCAATCATTTATATCATCAGTTAAAACACCAGTAGATTAAAGGTATGCAAACCATAATTATTATGGAAGTAAGAGAACATTAAAATACAAGTGGCTGTTTATCTAAAAAAGTGCAGCTCAGTATCTCTGAGATCTCTTTGAGCCTCACTCTTACACCAGACAACTGGCAAAGATCTTCTGGCCATTCCACACACTATACTGTAGACCTTTGGAGTCCGAGCCCTCAGAGTAGCAACACTCTGAAACTCTCTCCCAGTCAACATCAAACACTGCGGCACACTTTGACTTTCATTTATACACATCTTTTCACCAAGGCTTTTAGAATCACATAAAGGGCCTTGGGTGACTTGAAAGGCAAAGTTAGTATTATCAACATTTTATATGATTTTTATGAATGTTAATCTATAATTTAATAATTATTTAAATATATATATTGTGTTTAGAATCCAAACATTTATCTACTGTAATAAACAGATGTCATAATATGTGTCTGTACAACATAGTGAAATATTTACCCCAGAGGTTTTGTATTTTTGCCACAAATAGCAGTTTCTGGAGCCTCTTTCATATCGATATGTCGGTGGAAATATGATCTTCTCTTCCTCTTAAACACATGAACAGAAAATTGAAGCAGTGTCACACATAAGAAATATTGAGAAATACTCAAGAACTCACTAAAATTGAGAAAACACTTTCTCTTGTGTCTTTCTCTGGTCAGCTGGTCGGCACACATGAGCTCATCAAATTCTCTCTTGGAAACATGTTTTAAAATATCCTATAATATACATCCATGATCAACATCAGTTTTCTAGCATTTGTTCCACCACAGTTTAGATTCCGAATGAACCTGCACATCCAGGTCCAGTCGGTAGTTGAGGTCCCCACACCAGAACAGGTGAGTGAAGCGAAGACTGATGTCAAATGGGCCAATCTTGTCACCAAGGGAAAGCAGTCTCAGGATGTCCATAAAATTCTGGTTTCTCCTGAAATCAAACATAAGCGCTATAATATATACCATAAAACGTGAACATCAGAGCAAAAACAATATAGAGCATTTACCTGAGGACTTTATCACTTCCAGAGGTCATGTGGCAGTTAACAAACCCAAATGATGTCCCGTTAAAATAGAAAGAGACACCAACAGCTCCTTTATTTCCTGGGAATATAACGTTTAAAATTACATTACTAAATTCTTGTCCACGATTATCTGATGGGTCTTACCCAAAGTGTTGCCTAATCCGGTTTTGACGCTGGCTGTGCCCACACGGCTGATGCGCCCCTCATGTTCGGGTTTCACCAACACTGCCAGTCTCATATTCCAGAGGGACTGCACTGCCACCTACAGGACACGTGTCTCCATTACGATGTGTAAAAGACATGCCATTTTTATCCATTTTGTTGGCCTCTTCAGTAACTACCAGTTATGGGAAGAAGAGTATTGAATCCCTGCATTGAAATACATGTTGTAACATATTACGATACAGGGTCCAATCAGAGCATCAGAGTGTTCTGAATAATTGGAATACTTTCAATTAGTTGTATTACATTACAACTTAAAAATACAAATGGGGTTAGAACAGCTTTATGCTTATCATCACTAATTAGAGATGAGGAAAAAATGCCAATGTGCTAATTTTTTCTCACCAATGCTGTGCAGTTCAAACTGTGTGAAGTACAGCCCTGTGTTCCTTTGATTTTAGGAAAGAGTAACTGTACCTGAATAAAGTAACTCAAATGTGCTACATGTATTTAGTTACTTCTTCTTCTCTCAAGACCATTGAAACAGTAGGGAGCAATGGGGGAGGCAATTACCAGTTTAAAGTCAATGTGAGTGTAGCTGCGAAGAGTTGCTTTCACATTCTCAGTCCACTCTCTTTCCCCCTGTGGATTTTCTTGAGTGCCCACAGCATATATGTCATGAGGGAGAAGTCCAATAGACTCATCTGGAGTGTGACCCAAACCGCAACAAGTTACCCATGACTGCAGGGTTCCTGGAGGTGGGGAACCACCTGTATAGCAAAATATTTTATTTTTAAATACAGTAAAGTCCTTGCCTCATACAAAGTGTATATGATTTCTATTACCCATATTCCATGTGCCAATAAACACAGAGATCAGGTCTGGTTCAATCATCCCAGAGTGCCGTATCTTCATCAGCTGCAGGAGTTGGCAGAAAGCATCACGTTTCTGAAAGAAATTAAGAAAAAGAAAGGTCAATATTTTAACATTTTAAAAAGGGAATTTGACATCTTAATCATACCCTAGCACTTTCAAAAATCATCTCTCGTGGCGTATTGTGAAGTTTGTCAACCACCATCTGAACCTTAGCTGAACTGCTTGGAAATTTGACAATCTGAAGAACTGATGGAGCAAAATTACACTATTATTCTATTTATACGCCTATGAGTATTGTGGTAAATGGGTGGAAGAATAGGATGCACTTACTTCTATCATGGGAAACCTTTTCAACACTAAATGAGTCAGCTTTTCTGTCAAACAGGATCACACCAGAATCCACATCAACAGAGATAATCTGTCTACCATAGCGTACCATCTTCACCTGGGTAGTAACATATGGAAACATTCAGATGAAATCAACAGTATGCATAATTTGAATTAATATTTTTTATGTTGATTTTTTTTTTTTTTTTTTTGTACCTGGAAGGAGTGGATAGTCATTTGCCTAGGAGTCTTGACAGGTGCAGTGCATGTCATATTGATGGTTGTAGCTTCTGGTGGTGGGTCTGGCTGCACTGCTAAATTATGATTAGCCACTGCCTCTTGTAGAGCTTGTAACACCTTGTAAATAGGAAATGTCAGAACCTCAACAACATCACAATTGTAGTATTCCCTTGTAATTGCGTAGAATACCTTTTTCTCTAACGATGAAAGAAGGCTCACTAAGGATGAAATCTTGCACAACAAAGTGTCTATATCCATGTCTGGACCCTTTTACCAAAGTTGAATTCAAAATTAACACCAACAGATTTTTCAACCTAAATGTTTCTGTGTCTTTGTTACCTGAGCCTTGTGTGTCAAAGAACAGTTGGTATTGTCAAAGACTTTGACTAGGGTTTCCAAACTTGAGAGAGTAAGGTCAATCTCGCTGTCAGTGAAATGCTGAATTTAGCATTATATTTTCACTTTCACAAATTATATACATTTAGTATTCAAGTACAAACTTGTTTAGGCCCTGGCATGCACTTCCCAGAGTACGTCGGAGGTGAAAAAGATTTGTGGACCCTTTGTGTACATTCTCAATGTCAAGGGACAGCTCACTGTAGAGGTAGTTATGAAGCAGAGAGATGATCTCACTTCCTGTGCTGTAAAACACATAGAAATAAACAACACAACATTTATAAAAAATGTAACCTGTGCATCCTCTTTGTACCTGGATGTGCTGAGCTCCAGTAATTTTTCCAGGAATAATGCTGAAGGACCTGGATTTACTTGTGGAGATACAGATACTGTAGTGGCTGGCAGTGCCACTGGAGGTGGAGGTCTCTCATCATCTGCACATCCCCAAAATAAATATACCATCAGTACATATGCATGATATATTTATACATTTCTCATAAAAAAATGAAAAAAAAAAAAAAAATTTCATTATGGTGTTAGCTTTTACTGTTAAGTTATACCAGAACTCTCATCTCCAGAGTCGGCATCCCGTAAAACAGGGTACAAAAGTGGGGAAACCAAGCCTTTGTGCGGATACTGATACCCCATCACAAGATCCTCCAAAGTACGAAAGCAGTTCACCTGTACTCCCTGTGTTGTCTGTGAGCCAAAAACACAAAACAAAAGTTCACTTAGTGTCCTGTGGCAACATGAAGTTCATGAACCTTTACCTGTGTGTCTATTATCTCTTCAAACACACTCAAAAGACACTATAAACAAATGCACTATGCACAAAAACATGCTTGTTGTAACTTACAGAGAATTGTTGCCTAGGGAGTACAAAATTATATCTCAGTGTTGTCACTACTCCATCTGTCACGCTTCCAACCAGTATCAAACATGACAGATTTGTTTATTTCAGCGACACATGTGAAACAAAGGACCTCCTTGATCATCTATCATTTTGCAATAAAATACAATTTGTCTCACGTTTAGTCGTTCACTCAGTGATTTTGAAGAAATCTGCAATGCTTTTTCAGTTCCCTGTCCAGTGACTTTTTTCCTCTTACGCGGCCTATTTGTTTTGATACAGATGGACCATGTTCACCTGATTGGTGAGCAGACTCACACCTTAATAAAGTTGGAAAAGTGCTCTCTGAATCTTAGTTAAGAGAATTGTATAGACTAGACTGTAAAACTAAACATAAATGTTAAACTTTCACTTGATTGAAGACCTTTAGAAGTTCTGCTTAGTAGCTCTTGGACATTTGTAATTAGATTTATTTCCACATAGCCTTGTGTAAGAAGACACATAAAAAGAGTGCAGTTTGTTTGGGTATAATTTACAAAGAAACAGTTCTACCAAAAAGCCTTGATCGCAAACTAGTTTTGTTTATGCACAAATAAACTATAGTCCTATGTCAGTGGCCTTCTGTGTGGGTTAAAGAAATCCTTGAGACAAAACACTTATTCTCTGTTCTGCTGAGCTAATACACCAAGCATGCAGTCACATGGCAAAGTTGTCATTCAAGCAACAAAGCCAAAGCCAATGTAACACACTCTGACTGAAGGGTAAAACAAATGTGCTATTATATTGCACCATAACACACCATTGTTTCTCTCTAAATGCTTTTCCTTGTTAAACTAATGATTCTGCATCTTGACTGCTAGTGTATTGCCCCTCACCTGCACTGCCAGGAGGCCATCGGCGTCTGGAAGAATGCGATATGTGTGCACGTGTCGCTGGAACCTACGAAACAAACAAAACAATATTTTTAAAAATATTTGAAAATAACATAAAGGCTGTATTTTCATATAAAACACAAACAACAGAGATACAGAGAAATCTGTATTATCGTGACTTAAGTATTTTATAGGTTCATCATCTAATCATCATTAATTTTGACAGGCTCCCAGCTATTAAAAACAGAACAGAGAAAGGGAAAAATCTTTTGAAATGTACAAGCACTGAACTGGGAAAGTTGGGAAAGAAAGAGGAGAAAGGGTTAGCACATTCTGCTGGGCTCAACTTTCAGGAATGTATCTGGCTCTGCTCGATGAGCAGGCAGCGTAGTGCGGTTGTTGGGGCTCCCACCCTCTTTCAGAGGTCCCAGGGAAGACAGAGGGCTACAGGGGAAACCAAGTCCTGAGCCGGGGTCAGGGTGGGAGTCCTCTTCAGTGGAAATGTATGCTGGTGTCTGAAAATGTCTTAGACAGCAAAGGGCAATATTTGAGGGGAAAAGGCTGGCTATATAAAAGTTATAAGAAGTTATAAAACATAGCCTATAGCCTTGAGTAGGCCTATATAGCCTATCAGCCTACTCATGTAACACATTGCATATTTTCAGGACTTTTAATACATAAAAATACACTAGTAACTTGATTACTGGCTTGGTGAATTTGAAATCCCTTCCAGCAAAGACGACCATACTCACAGGAGGCACAGTGCGTAGGCCCCAGGCACAGACTCACTGTCTCTCACGAGGTAGCTGCCATCCCTTCCGGCTCGTGCCAGTAAATCCTCCGCATGCACACGACTGATGTCCCTGTGATACCACGCCACTGTCGCCATGGTGTTGTGTGCAGACTGGTGTTAGGGCTATAAAAGTACCCCAAAAGAGGCGGAGAGCTCTACATAACACATGATGTTATGTTTACTGTCAAACTCAATCATTCTTCTGTCATTCATGATGCAAATTGAGCAAATGAGCAATGTTTCTTTCATGATCCTTTAGTACTGATCCACGCAGTTCACAGCAGGACTTGCTCAGTCTCTATTAGTTCCTTCCAAGTCATGCATATTTAATTAAAAAGAAAGGCTCAGTTTAGGTCCATTCATTTGTCCAGTTGCTGTTGAGGGAGGTCCACTCTGAATTTGTGATAATATCAGTTTTTCCCTGTGAGCCTCTGTTGTCTGGTAAGTGTGTTGCTCCAAACCCACACCATCATAACTGAGTCCTGAAGGTAAGACAGGAACCCTGTAGCAGTGACGGCACAAGCCCTCCTCTCAGCCTGAAGCAAAGAAAGAAAGTTACAAAAGAGAGGTCAAGTAAAGCAGTTAAAGTGCATGCTTAGTAAAAACATATTCACAAGTATCAGAGGGACCAACATACCTCAGATGGACCACAGTCAGGACTAAAACCAGACAGGCATGCACCAGAAACCAGACCAATTCAAATGATTTCCCAGCTCTGTTGCCTTATAAGGAAAAAGCAACACCCATGAAAGGTTCTTCTGATGACTACAGTTGTCCCAGCCTATAGATTTCTTAAACAGAGTGTCTGGCGGGATGTGGGTTACTCAGATCCAGTGGCTTGACTTACAGTGGAAGAGATCTGATGTTCTATAGTGGTGTCTTGTCAAAACGCGCCATAGTGTCCAGCAGTCCTGCACATAGCTGTCAGAGCAGAGAAGAGGAGAGCCCCATTAGAGTGAAATGCAGACAAAGGAAGTGACTGCACATTCCAGATGGCGGACTTAACCAGGGGAAGAATTCTTGCGAGGGGCTCAACTTTAGAACCACTGTGTGAAACTTCCCGTCTGTCCAACTCTCTTTCTCGCCTCCTCCTTTTCTTCCTTCCCCTTCTATTCATAGTCCCATACACAACATACACACACTCAGGTGACCTCATCCAAAAGTTTTCTCTCCTTTTCCAACACATATGGTTACGATCAAGTCTCACTAACCAGAACATCACCCGTTTTCCCTCCCTGGTTCTATTAACTGTAATACTGCTGAACACAGTAGGATGCACACAGGGTACATATTTGCTGTAGTGCCTCTATCGACTCAGCAGAAATGAGCAGACCACTTTAACCACAACTATCGTTTTAAAAAAAACACGCAAAACCTTCCCTATTTATCTGGTGATGTACAAACTTAATCCTTAACCCTTACAATTGTGTCTCATGTTGTTCCATGCCATCTTTTTTCTTTTTAATAAAAATGCAGTAGAATAAACATAAAAAAGCCCTGACTAATTCCTACTAAATCTGTCTAGCTTACATTTTACAAATGTTAGGCTACTTTTATTGTACAATTATGTTTTTTTAAAAGATTTTTTTTTTCTTTCTAATATTTATACTTAGCAACCCACAGAAAGGAAACCCCCACTTTAAGTGTTAAAATTATGTCTAAATAAAGAAGCAAATATCATTCACTGTGCCAGGGCCTCAGTTCACCTGCAGCACACATATAGACTTATTCTGAGAGACTTCAATTATAATTGTGCTAACTAGTCATTATTTATAAAGAAGAACCTGCTTTAAATGGCAACAGCTTAAGTATAAGTGGCTTATGCCACTGCTTTAACTCCCAGCAAAACAAAAAGCAACAGAAGGGAGGGTCCCAAGAACAGATTGAGAGTACACTTACCATACTTTCTTTTACCATCTTTTTGATGCAGCAATGTTTCAAACTACCTAATATCACTGATAAACTGATCATGTTTTAACAGTCTTTACATATAAACTTTGGCTCTTTGAAGCATAATGTAATGGAGCTTTACTATGCTAAGACAACAGGTAGTTTTTAAGACGACAGGTAGACTTTAATGCATTACAAAGTTTAATTCCTTGGTTGTAAACAACCGGATCATGATCCGGGGCGGGAGAGGTCAGCGTCACCTCTTAACAGTTTTAAAGACATCTTAATCCTGTTCACACATAAACTGATCTAATTCATTATCTTTGTCTGGTAAGGTGTCGTAATCTCCATCATCCACTTCTTCTTTAGTCAACCAGTTAAATATGGTTAACAGAGAAAGACTGTGCTCTGTCCAGCAAAGTGACTGGCATATATAAGTGAATTAGTGAGACTTGAAAAAAAAAAAAAAAAAATATATATATATATATATATATATATATAGAAGATATATATATAGAAGATTTTAATTTTTAAGTCTGGCATATGAAATGCATTTATTAATTTCTCTAATTTCATACCCAGTTTCGAATGTGACAAGGCTTTAAGTCACTAGAACTGCAGATTTCTGTAAAAGAGTTATGAGCACAGATTAGACAAAGCTCGGAAAAGCCATCTGTCACCACAGCTACAACCAGTCTACAACTAATTTAACCACTTCAGAGTCCACTACAGTAATTTCCTTGAACACTTTAACAATTTTAGGCAGAATTTTGAATGTGTAAAATCTGATTCAGATCTACATTTTAAAGTGCAATTTATTGTTCATAGAGGTCAGTAATAGTAACAGTAATAGTAACAGTTATAGTAATAGTAATAGTAACAATAGATAAGAATAGTAGTAGCATAACCAAGAAAATGGTTAAAATAATGATTGTAAAAATTGTTAGAATAATAACCATGTTTTAAAACAAAAACAAATAACAACAACAATCACTGTTTGTGGTTATATGCCCTCATCTAGCCAGAATTAGTTTTACTTGCACCAGTCCCAGTATAATGCATTAATAAGATTGTGTCTAAAAGAGACCTCTTTGGGGCCTAGAATTAGCTGAAGGGAGGACTTCAAGGTTGGGAGGTCAAAGTATAAAGCCATTCAAAGCAGTGATCGCCATTCATACCATTCACTCCCAGCTGAGTCTGTGACAGGGCAACAGAGAGGACAGAGCTCATTGTAAGTTGGATATTTACTCACTTATTTATATATCATATTATATATAATTTGCATTTGTAGAAAAGTGTTTTTGTTTTTTTTACAATGTATATTTATATTGTTGTCAATAAAAATGCAATATATATAATTTCTCTTTCTATAGGCAGAAACCTCAAAATGGCTAAGTGAGTATTTTTTTTTTTTTATTATAATATTATATTATTCTATTATACATGGATATGCTCTAATCTATCATTTAAGTTTTAAATGCTAACCATAATACATTTTAACAAAAAAATAAATAAAAATAAAAAAGTAAAAAACATGGCACTGGAACATTATTACATATAACTAAGTAAATGTTCAAAACAGTCTCCTAAATTTAAATTTTAAAAAATTCTGAAATAAAATTTAACTTAAAGAGCCGTGAATATATCTTCAGTTCAGATTATCCAACAGGTGTCTTTTCATCCTGATCCTGGTAATCCATGCTCTGGGGTAGTAAAGAAGAGACACTGGCTGGAATAAGTTTATCCTTAAGCAAATTGTGTATTGAACATCCCCAGTACTATAAATAATCATCTGCAGCTCACTGTGACAAAATAAATCAACATGAAAAACATAGACTTACAGTCTCTTTTGATCCTTCTCTCCTTCAGGGTTTTCAAGAAGACCAGTGGCAATGGACAAGTAAGTGGTCTCTGTAATGTAGTCATTATAGGGTACTCCAAGAGCACAGGGAGGAGTAAGATTTGTATGTTGCTCTTCCAGCTCCCAGAAATAGCTTAAAACTCTTGTAACTTTGGCAAGCAATAACATTTTCCTGTGGTTTCACTCAGATTGCTCTGTACTTGGGGAAGAGAGACTTTGTGGATCACATTGATTCAGTGGATGTTGTTGGTAAGTGGCACTCCACTCATCTCTACAATCTCATACTAGTGGACTAATTCTATATCTCATTTCTAGATGGGGTTGTCAAAGTAGATCCCTCAGCACTTAATGGAAAAAAGGGTAACTGTTAAAACAATAATGATTACAGATTTGTCATGAATGAATATTAAACACACATTTCACAGTGTTCGTGTACCTGGCGTGTGCCTTCCGATATGGAAGTGACGACCTGGATGTGATTGGGCTGTCCTTCAGGAGAGACATTTGGATCCAGCGTATTCAAATGTATCCTCCAACAGGGGGATCTGCTACCCAAACTCCAATGCAAGAGTCCCTTATGAAGAAAGTTGGAGAGCAAGGATATCCCTTTTCATTTCAGGTAATAAAATGCTTATTTCACAGCATCTTGGTAACTTGGTTATTTAATTTAGAATAACATTATGATCTGAAATTTTTACAGATGCCAACCAACCTTCCATGCTCAGTTTCCTTACAGCCTGGACCAAATGACGCTGGCAAGGTAAAGAACTTTCTTTCTATAAAAAAAAAAAAAATGCTAAAATTAAACATTGATCTTATACAATTATAGGCGTGTGGTGTGGATTTTGAGGTCAAAGCATATGTCGCCAATGAAGCAGACAATGCTGATGAAGTTATTGAAAAGAAGTATGTACTGTGTGAAATGTACAATTAAAATATAAGGGTACGCTCACACTTGCACAATTCATACATCAAAATTGGGATAAACTGGGACTAAATCCAGTCCTAATCCTAGACCAGACCAGGACCAAACCAAGACAAGTGAGAACGCACCCTAAGGCTCAATAGTTCATAGCAATCTTTGCTGAATTTTTATCTTTCTGTTATAAATCTACCAGAGACACCTGCCGTCTGATGATTCGCAAAATACAGTATGCTCCAGCTAACAACAAAGCCGGAGCCAAGGCTGAGATCAGCAAAGGCTTCATGATGTCTGACAAACCAGTCCACCTGGAAGCATCTCTGGAAAAAGAGACCTATTATCATGGTGATCCAATCACTGTTAAAGTGAAAATCAATAATGAATCTTCGAAAGTGGTGAAGAAAATCAAAATTACAGGTGCACAATCCAGGCAAAATTATACTAATTGGAGAAAATGAAACTGGATTTTCTAATCTACTGTTATTCCTTTTAGTCGAGCAGCTTACAAACGTTGTACTGTACTCATCTGATACTTATATCAAACCTGTCTGCTCGGAAGAGTTTGGGTAAGAATTTAGGACCTTTACATATTATGTAAATGTTTTATGATTTACACATTTTTCTCATTACAATGGGCTCTCCACAGGGAGACAATAAACGCCAATGCCACACTCGAGAAGTCCTTCCAGATCATGCCTCTGCTGTCCAACAACAAAGAGAAACGCGGCCTCTCAGTCGATGGCCGTCTCAAAGATGAGGACACCCACCTCGCCTCAACTACCTTGTAAGCATCTTCTACTAAACTCATGACATAACCCAAGACAGTAATCCACTTAACCATATCTGGGCCAAATCCTAAAGCTTTAAAACTATTTCTGCACTTTCAGGAGTCAAGGAGATAAAGAGATGCAAGGAATCATTGTTTCCTACAAAGTAAAAGTCAATCTGATGGTGGCTGGGGGGTAAGTTCATTTTTTAATTAAGCATTTTATGAAAAGAAATACAAAAACGAAACATAAATATTTTATTTTCTGTTTTCTTTTTTAAATAAAGTCTTCTTGGAGGCCTAACTGGAAGGTAATTTTCTTTTTGGGTTGGTATAACAAAAAAATGTCTGAATATATTGACCAATTTTATTTATATTATTTATTTTTTAGTGATGTGACTGTTGAGCTTCCCCTATGTCTGATGTCCCCAAAGCCCGCAGGTAAGTGTTAAAAATCCTAGAACTGAAATTTCAAATTGATAATATGATTTTAATTATAATTTCTTTTAAAACTACTTTCCTAACTTTAATGTGGACTAAACAGAAGTGTAAGTATTTTAACATATTTATTTTATAAAATTAAATTTATAGGGCTTATGTCTTTAAATCTAATATGACAAAAACTAATGCTTATTTTTTTTATTTACATCATTTTAATTGCTTGTCTACTTGACAAACAGCAAACTGGATTAAAGACCAGTTTCATAGAGGTGAGGTCACCTGGGTTGTGTTCATAGACCCCATCAAGGTCAATTAAAAAACCCAAATTCCCCAAATAATGCCTATTTCCTAAGGAGAACATAGTAATGGTTCTAGAAATAACGTAGCACTTGTGACCACCCAGTAGTTTAGGATCCTCAATAAAATGACTCCTTACCTTGCAAATTTTTTACCTTTCATTACAGAGCTGATATCATACTGGAATCCAACGAGACAAAGAGTCAAGTCAACTGAAAAACAGAGACATGAATGTTATGTGCTATGTGTACACTTTTTAACATGCTACATCAAAGGAACGTAAGGAACTCTAAACATTAATAAAATACTTGCATTATTTTGAAATGACAAATAAACTGTAGAATGAAAAATATCATAAAATTTGAATGTTATGTTATATTATGTTATGTCGATCAAATGTTATGAGCCAATAAAAATACAATGGTTCACAAGATTGTTTTAAGGTCCCTTGCCCCATGTCAACCATGATCAAGAAGGCTTTATAAATAAAATCATTGTTTTACTCGTCTGTATCATTGGTAACAACCATTGATGGCTACAAACTGATTGTGTGCTTAACACTTGTACATGCATCTGTGAGACTGCTAGTGTTGGGGAAAGTAGAAAACATGCATTGACACGTAGCGCCTCATGGTGGAGCTATTTCTCCACCGCACCTAAAGAAAACACCGGTGCTGCTGGTCTGGGATACGGTCTGCTCTTCTCTGGGCTAGACATCACATCATTAGCAAAGTCTACGTGCTTCATACCTGATTCATTCAGACAAAATGTCAACTACGACTGGTGGTGGAGAGTTTGGCAACCCTCTCCGAAAGTTTAAGCTCGTTTTCTTGGGTGAACAAAGTGGTAAGTCTAAGATTTACAGTCAAGATTGAGGGATGCGAGGACTATTTGACAGTAGCTGCTATTTAGCATCATCTGTTAGCTTCCATGCCTGAAAGGATATTATTAATATCATCTTCTTTGGTATAACAGTTTGTTATAACAGTACGCAAAGAGCGAACGAGGGTCTTCAGACCTATTAAGACGGGAATGTTTTCGCTGGGGCACTACAATAAAATGACAAAATATAAGTTATAAGATGATGTCATTACCTTGCTGGGCAATGGCCTCCTCTTCCATTTATTATTACCTTGTACAAGAATGTTTCATAGAAATGTGTTAATTTATTTAAAATCCTTACGATTCATAAAACTCCCGTTTAGAGCTGCTGTTGTAAGGAGTGTGGTTCAATTGTGCGTCTTCCTCTCATTAGCATTAGCATGGAAATTAGCTGGTGACTGCTTAACACTAGACCTAGAGTGCTTACAATGATTTACCTTCGATAGTATTTTAAATTTCAATGAAACTGATCTCCTTACACTCCAATTGCTCATTCACAAGAGCTGTGTGCATGAGTCTAAATACAGCGGGACATCGCGTTGAGCCACTGGCCCGGGCTCGGTCGCTGTTAGCTTCTGCGGCAGCTCCGCGGCTGTAGCCACGTCGGCCGCTGGGTTCAGACCATTCACTGTAAGATCAGACAGATGTCTGTTTTTGGACGTTTTCTTACAAGCTCTGGGATTGTGGTCTGTTTTATTTATGTTGATGTAAATCTGCATGTGATATAAAATGTAACGTAATGTCATTACAATTTAATCATTGTTGGCTCCACCCATACTCTGCCAGCTCAGCAGCGGTCCATGTTGCATCAAATAGACTGTAATAACTATTTGAACGTCTTGATTTAGAAGGAACTTATTCGGATACACCATTTATTGCAGGGGTGTCAAACTCATTTTGGTCCGGGGGCCGTATCCAACCTACTTTGATCCCAAAGGGGCCGGATCAGAAAACTCATGTCATATAAACCCCAAAAATAACAATAAGTTCAAATATTTGTGCAGAAAAACGCAAATCTATTACAGAAATCTTTTTTAATTGATGAACTCTTTCTTATTATAATATTATAATATTATGAACAACCTGAATCTTTAAGAAAAATTCAATTTCAACACAATGTTTTAACATGAACTTGTATGTAAACAGGAATAAGTCAGTTTTTCTTGTAAAATCTTGCACTCTGCTCCACTTTTCTCATGTTGGACATTTTTCTGATGAGGGTGTCACAGTCAACAGTCAAAACGATCGTCCTTTAAGAGCGTTTGGAAAGAGACAAGTCTTCATTTGTGCTGCTCTGGTGGGAGGGGCCACGTACAGAGGCGCTGGAGACGCTGCTATGATCAGCACCGCAGAAAATTACCAATATTTTAATAGAAAATATAATTAAAATATTTTAGTAGAAAATCACCCAAGGGCCACATTAAAGGTCTTGGAGGGCCGGATCTGGCCCCTAGGCCTTATGTTTGACACCTGGGATTTATAGGAATGAAAAGTCCATAATGGATGTTAATTCTGATATCACTGTTTGTCCACAGTTGGGAAGACTTCACTCATTACCAGGTTCATGTATGACAGTTTCGACAACACTTACCAGGTAATAACATGACAATATTTCCAGTGTTCAGCTATAACTGTAATGTACTGTGTGAATTCTGTAACCAAGTCAATAAACATTTTCAAACAGGCAACCATTGGAATTGACTTTTTGTCAAAAACTATGTATCTTGAAGACCGCACGGTATGTATTAGGATAACTACTTTTCTTTCTTGGCTTAAAACCTGCATTAAACATGTTTTCAATCTGTTACCATCTTCCTTGGATTTTTTTCATCATTATGTAGTCATGATTTATTTCCCATTGCTATTATTTTTTATGTTTGTTTACATCCTCTGGTTTCATGCCCATCCATTGCCACATATTTTATGATGGAAAAAGATTCGACTACAGCTCTGGGACACAGCTGGGCAGGAGCGTTTCCGCAGCCTCATCCCAAGTTACATCCGAGACTCTGCTGCTGCTGTGGTGGTTTATGACATAGCTAGTAGGTATCACGGCCCTGCTTGAACATGGTCCTTCACTCTTTGTCCACTAAAGGGCTTTACATAATTGGACACCACGAGACAGCATATGTTTGTCTGTTTAGTTATTTTTACACATCCTTGGCTTTTAGTTGTAAAAAAAAAATTAGAACATCCCTCCATTTAAGATTTTTGTCTGTAGATTCTCATCCTATTCGCTGCTTGGCTTCCATTTTCTTTCATAGTTTCCTTTTTCTTTGGATTCTTTCATTTCCTTAATGCTCTTTAATTTCTCTACTTTCTACCCTGGATCTCTTTGTTACTGTCCTCCATCCTGTCCTCAGGTCCGGCTCCAGCTTTGGGATACTGCTGGACAGGAACGTTTCCGTAGCCTAATTCCCAGCTACATCCGTGACTCTACCATTGCTGTGGTTGTTTATGACATCACCAGTGAGTCAGGGCTGTTCTATGATGCCTCCAGAAATTGTGAAGAGAAATCTATTTGCATAGCTGATTTGCTTTTAATTTTCAGAACCATTTGTATTCTGTATTGCTTTATACAAATTCACATGCCTTATTCGGTGCATTTTTTGTGTTTCAGAGACATGTTTGTTTTATGCATTACAGATCTGAATTCGTTTCAACAAACCTCAAAGTGGATTGATGACGTGAGGACAGAACGAGGAAGTGATGTCATCATAATGCTTGTTGGAAACAAAACAGACTTGGCAGATAAGAGGTACATGCCTGATGTGTGGTAATATATTAGAATTCTACCATTTGCCTATGCCTTGGTTCACACTATTCTTCCTTGAGTGTATATCATCCAGTTTGAGTGGAACCACCCCCAGTTTATTAATTTTTTTTACTTATTACTTTAAAATTTGTATAGTCTTAATTATTTTCTGGTTTATCATATTTGTGTTTGGCCTTATCATAGCTTTATTTTATTTTCCTCCCTATTACATGCATGTCATTTTCATTTTATTATATTTTGTGTGTTTTTGTGTGCGTGTTTCAATCAACTCCATGCCACCACACATCCCTCCCCCTCCTTCCCTGGGACCATGGCAGGCAAGTTTCTGTTGAGGCGGCAGAGAGGAAAGCTCGTGAGCTCAATGTGATGTACATAGAGACCAGTGCCAAGGCTGGCTATAACGTCAAGCAGGTTGGTGTATATGCAGGCACATACTAACATTAGTCTGCATTTTTGGTGGTGCATTAGGTTGTCAGAAAAAGCCAGTGATGTCTAGAAGTTATATATTTCATGGCTCCAAATATCTGTTTAAATGTATTTTATGAAGCCATTTGCATCACTTTTTTTTTTGCACAATAGCCACTATCCTACCCGTCTTCCTCTCTGCCTGTGTTGTAACTGAACTAACATTTCTTTTTTCTGACTTGATAAACATGCAACACTGAGCTGTATTTGTTTTCTTTCCCTTTCCTCCTCTCTCTTTTTTGCCTTTTCTCGTTTCAATGTTTCTGTCCACATTTCTGTCTGTCCCTCTATTGGCCGTTTTGCTTTTGACCTGAGCAGACAGATCACCACGGAGGAGGGCGAGCAAAGAGCAAAGGAGCTCAATGTCATGTTTATTGAAACCAGCGCAAAGACTGGCTACAATGTCAAACAGGTACAGGAGCTGCTCTGAGGATAGATGATCTTGTTCAGGATGTGTTGTTTCTGCTGCATGCATCTATTCTGCTACACCTCTTTTCTGTAGCTTCTGTCTCTCAAAGTAGCTATCAGTGTCGGCAGTATCAGAAATTGTACACACCCTTTGCTAGTAAAGGTTTCAAGATTCTTTGCATTGCTTTACATACTTTGTGCTTTTGTTGTTTTTGGTTTGATACACTAAACAACTTTTGTGTTGATGTTCAGTGTGTCTAATTAGGAAGCATGACATGACACATGTTTTCTTTTTTACAATGTATTTGTGCATGTTTTTAGAAGCACAGCATTTCATATTTGTGTTATAGTGAATGCAGTTTCAGTGTGAAGTTGGAATGACAAGCTATAGTATTCCTTAATATCTCATATAATATATTGCACACTAGGGATTGGTGTAAAAATTTACTCAGCACTATAAGTACAGCATCATATTACCTCCATGTTAATCTATGTTTGCTGTATCTGTTCCTTTTCAAATAAACAATTTACATATAATAAAATGAGCAATTACATAAGGAATAATGTTAAAGTAATTATGAACAATCTGTTAGATAGAAGTGTATTTGCTTCTGACATCATGATGTCTACAGCAGGCATAGTACCTCAGTTGCAGGTCTGTCCTGCTCCTATGTTTGTTTTGAAGTTATGATAGTAAAGGTTATTTTTAAACTTGATCAAAAAGTACTGACAATGGCAATTCAGTAGTAAGGCTGACGGTCAACAAAAGTGGCTCTGAGGGTCACATTTGGCATGTCTGGTCTACACTGAGTGTGAGTCTTTTTGCTGTTCATACTCTTTCCTTATAGAATCTTTATTTTACAGTTGTTTCGCCGTGTTGCTGCTGCACTGCCTGGGATGGATAGCACACCAGAAAAAAGCAAAGAAGACAGTATCCTTTAAATAAACTATAACCCTCCAGTATTTGTTAAAAGGCTAGCAAAGCTATATTGGAGGTGGGGACATGGGCATAGATTGGCAGCCACATTTTATCAGCCAATCCAGGGGCAGCTGTGGCTACAGAAATAGCTCACTAATGCTGGGTGTGGAGAATGAAGGAATAATGTATGAAATTGTTAAGTGACCTGATTTCAGGTAATACTTTTGACATAAAGTTTAAATGATCATGGTATAATTACTTAACCAGCCTCTTTCAGTGATCGACATAAAATTGGAGAAACAGCCAGAGATGACTGTCACGGAGAGCAGTTGCTCATGCTAGTACGCCTACCCACTCTCCGCGCGTCTTTTCCCACCAACAGCTTGTCTCTCAGTGGCCACTCTCTCCACCCTTTGGCACACTGCCAATGGGATGGATCTGTCTTTCCCTTTTTAAACTCAGTGACTTTTCAGAGTTGCAATGTGGATGTGTATTGAAACGGAATATCACATGGGTAAAACATTTAAGCAAAGTTACATTTGTTCTGATTCATACAGTTGCATGGCATAATATAGGACGAACATTGCAATCTGCTTATGGGTTACTGCACAGTTGAAAATCCCAGTGCTGTTACACTTGCTATGTTGTCAAGTAAAATGCTTGGAATTATTTAAGAAGAATTTTAGAACGATACATATTTTTAAGCATTTAGTTGCAGATAAGTTATTTCTTATAGACTTCACTTTAAATGCAAATGGATTTCATAAAGGATGTGCTTTTTGAAATTGTTATATTAGGTTTAACATTTCCTTTCCAAACAAACATTGGTTTAAAAAATTGTTTTTTACATAAACTGCCAAATAGTTACATGCTTCAACCTTTTATATGGC